TATTAATAATTAAGTCTATATTCAGCTAAGTTTCTTCAAGAACATTATTAGTTTAATGAAGTTTTCTATTCAAAATATATAAGATCTATGTAATTTATGTGTAAAATGGCATTAAAAATCCAATAAATTCGTTAAATGTATACTTGGACAGGATATATACAGAGAAGAGGACCGATTTTGTCATNGAATCCGATTTAGATGTAAGATTAGAGCCTATCCATTTGTTCCGTGCAACATCACATATCCATTTTATCCATTTAGTAAAAGATCTAGCAACCGTTTAAAAAATTCCTTCAAACTGCTATTTATTCGTCATTCTCATAAATTTTTCAGGCCTAATTATTTTTAAGTTGAATTTAAATTTACTTTGATATTATTTAACTCTTTCTTTAATCATTTTCTCTTCTATAAGAGAATTTTGCGTGATTGAATTCTCTCTCTTTTTTTTTCTCTCTCTCCCAGATTAAATATAGAATTTCCTGATTATAAACTAAATTTTAAGACGAATATTTTTGCTTAATAATTATTTTGAAATTAAAATTTTGATCAATTAACAATCTTAAGATCAAAGGTTTTTTGATCGATAAGTATTTTTTTTCGAATTAATGTCTTGATCGCTAATTAAGATCAACATTCTGATCAATTATCGACTTTCAATTCAAAGATTTTGATCAATTAACGCTTTTGAGATCAAATATTTCGACTAATAAGTAATATAAAACCGAGATTTTGATCATTAATCAGTTTACGATTACGATTTCGATCAAAAAAGAAAAAAACAGCTGTTTAGAAGCCCCAAAGAGATTTTTAACCGTTCACTTTAATATATATATCGGTTAACTGACTTTTGATCCACCCCTTATTAATAATTAAGTCTATATTCAGCTAAGTTTCTTCAAGAACATTATTAGTTTAATGAAGTTTTCTATTCAAAATATATAAGATCTAGATTAAAAAGTGGAATTTGTTTATATAATTTTTTTAATTTAAAAAAAGATAATCAAATTTTATAAATATTATGTATAAACCTGTTTCATATATTTAGGCCGCATGTAATATATTATAGATATTTTCGGGCGTTTAAATTAATAAAATTTTCGAAAAATCAATTATTTAGTATTTCGAATTAAGCAAATTTTAAAGTGAAATTTAATTAAGAAAAATAGTAATAAATATTTAATGAAAACAAAATTTTTTTTTCATTCTTTTCTTTTTCTTTTAGACAAAAAGAGTTTGTGGAAATTTCACATTTCACGCTTTTGTAACGTTAACGCTACATTAAATCACTTAATTCATTTTTATTAAGATTTTAAGATATCTTTCAATTCGTAAATATTGGAAATAAAATCATTTATTAATGTTATAAATAAATAAAAATCACTGAGATAATTTAACAAGTTAATTATATTGAACATCAAAGTTAGAATCTAATTCCCACAAGAAGAAATGATTAAAGTTCTCACTCAAAATTATTTCTTCCTTATTTTTTCTTTACTTCTTCTTCTCAAAAATTAATTAATTTAAATTATAAAATATTTAATAAACTTATATTTTCGATTTGAAATATATTTCCTTTTAAAATACGTTACGATTTTCTAATAAAACTACTAAATTCTCTTTTAAATATGTTGTAGGGCCTTATTTCAGTTATGTAGAAATTGCATTAAATTCTATAAAAGAGCCTGCTGTAGAGCATTGTTAATATTAATTTTTAATTATATATAAAGATTGTGAAATTCTTTATCTAAATGTTATGACCTTTATCTATTGTATAAGCTTCAATATTTAAAAGGATAAATATTGCTTTATTAAACGAATAAATCTCAATTCATGCTCATCATATATCAGAAAATAATCTAAAAATAACAGAGAGTTAAATGTAACTTCCATTAGAGTTGAATAGTGTATTAAATTATCATAATTAATTAGAACAAATTAGATATAAAGCTGATAAATGTAAGGTCTCTCATCTAGATTTATATTTTAAGTTGTGTGTTATAAAGGCCACGTTTCTTTAAATAATAAATTTAATTTTGAGAAGATCTAGATAATTAGAATTATATTTTTTCACATTTTATTAAGACTTCTGTACTTATAACGTGTGACAAATATAACAAAATATTATAGACTTTTCGTACAAAATTTTGAAAAAAAAAAATTAAAATAACATAATTTAAAATATTTAATAATTTAATTTAATTTTCTAATATTTTATATTTTTAATTACTCGATATTAAAAATTGCTTTTAAGGAATAAATCGAGTTAATATAGTTTATATATAATTAAGTTACTCACTTCTTTAGTAGGCATAACTCAATGTAGATTTACTTTATTCATTTATTAATAACACTTAATTTAAATCGAATATTATTTAAATTAAATCTATTATATTAATTTCTATTAAAATTATTACTATTTCGATTAATTAAAATTAATTTATTTTGATTTTATTTTAATCGTTTTACTTTCATAGAATCATGCAAAAAAAAGTAAATTTCCATAAAGAAACGAGCATTTTTCAGTTAAATTTATAGGGTGGTCCAAAAGTCAGTTAACCACAGTCTCTTCCTTATTCAAATATTTAACTACTTAATTATATAATTTTCCGTAAATCTTTAATTAAGTTCTAATTAAAAATTACAAATTCATAACCACAAATGTATGTGAAACATAAAAAAAGCGCAGTTAACTAACTTTTAAGCCAGACTGTGTTTTAATAATGAGAAAAATTGAAGTAAAAATTCACTGTAAATACAGTATTACCTATATGATAATTAATCATATTTAGAATTTTAAGAGATTTAGAATTAATCCTATCACCTTCCTTATAGCCTATGACTAATAACTAACGCATACTAAACATATGGAATATTTAAGATTGGATTTATTAACTGATAAATTCTAATCATTAACCGAAATAAATTTACATAGATAATATTTATACATTGTATTTATTATCTAAGATAATCTAACTTTAGAAAAGGTAAATAAAAATGAAGCATTGAAAATTTAAATAAAATAGCACTGTTAACAAATGCATTAATGAAAGAGATATAAACCTTTTAAATATTTATATAAATGTTAATTTCATCGCTATTTAATTAAATATTATCTTTCATCTAGTTTCCTTTTCATTTATTTATCTTTATAAATTATATTTAGTTATCGTAATTTTTAATTCATGTTTAATTAAGATTTAAGTTGGAAAGTAGAGTAAAAGCTTTACATGATTATTATGAGGGATTGGAACGAAGTTAAGAGCACCTTTGATCTCTTTCGGTCACTTGAATCACCTGATGCCACTTGACAGTCAAGCCAATCAATTGATCTGGCATTAAACTTAGTCTTGTGATATGTCCAGTGCATTCTGAAGATTAACCGCTAAGATACTGAAGATTCTTTTACTCTTATCACAGGCACATCAGAAAACAGTTTAAAACTTTCCACCGCATTTCTTTTTTTTTATTTTTAGCTTACAAAAAACAGGATTTTTTCATTAAAAATTCGTTAAATTTTATGTTTTTTTTCATAATTGTATTCGGGAAAGATTTGATTTTTAATTATAAATTTCTACTTAATTTTATTATGTTACCAGACTTCTAGTTTATGGATCTGTTTATATTATCATATATTTGTTTTACATTTCTATTTCTATGGATATATATATATATTCAATATTTTCTTTTTAAAAATAAAAGATATGTATATATATTCTTAAAAATAGTCTACTGTAAGAATATTGAATATATTTGATGTAAGAGAAAAAAATATATAATATACAAAAAAAAAGAAAAATGCAATTTATACTATCTTTTGTATTTCGAATAATAAGAGAAAACAAAGTAAAGTAGATGGAAGGAGTGGTTTTAAAGATTGGCATAATTGAAAAGAAAATTTATATATAATAATAATAATTTTTACAAAGGTTAAATTATCTGGATGTATAAATCCCGAAAAAACCCTAAAAAGTTGCACTATCCACTTCTATTTTTACTCAATAACATCAGGTAAATCCATCGTCTAAAGCACGGAATTCTCACAAGTGAAAGAAACAGTGTTTCATTTTTTTAACGTCGCTCAGAAGAGGCGCAACNAGAAAATGAGTTCAAAAAATTTCATGACAGTACAGTATACAGTAATGTACAGTCTTTAGTAACTTACTGACAGTAATACATGGTATTGCTGACTTCTGGATATCGAAAATACTTGTTAATTATAGTTTTGTTATAATTATAATTTTTCTATTGTCAAGAAATTTTAAATTATTGTACAATTTTTTGAAAAAATTCCATAACTTGGACAATCTTTTCAAAGTTATGTAAAGTATAAATTGGAAGAGACTGAATTAGAAGAATGTTTACTGTATGATATGATACTGATTCATTTAAGATTTATGATTTATTCATTTGAATAAAATTTTAAACAAAAAAGTTTTGATTAGTTCTGAAATTTCAATATCTAACATTATAAATTTTATAATAATACAAAGAATTTTTATAAGTAAATTTTAAATATCATATTTCATCTCTCAAAAAATAAAATAAAATTTGTTAGGCTGCAATTTGAAAAAATTGTAGACCTATAAATTCCCATTGCTGTCTGTCCATATGTCTTTCCTTAATCTCGAGAACAGAGTTAGATAGATGAAAGATGAGACCCAGAAGTCACGTTATTTCAATTTAAAAATTTTCCCCAGAAAGGCATTAGATAGATGACCAGCATAACTCTTGTTAAAGGAAAAATATGATGTACAGGGCAAGTCACTACTAATTTGAGGTGGAGAGCATATATTTTAAAGTTTAAATAAATTAAAAATATGATTAAAAGTTTGCAGCCCAGCATTTTGATGCTGTCACAATAAATAATTGTTCATTCATTATTGTAATTGTTATATCAAATCTTTCAACTTAATAAAAACATTTACAACTGTCAATCAAAGATCCTGTTAATCACAATCTCCATCTAGCATAATAATATAATGGTATATCCCTTACTGACAGTGGACTTGCCCTTCTGCACTGATAAAAGTGACAACTATAACTCAAGCTATCAATTTTATTATTTACTTACCCCATTTTCTGGAAAACAAGCTACATAATCCCTCCAATGTCTTTGAAGGATTCCTACCACTTCTCCTGTTGGAATTCTTTCTATTTTATCACTATCTACTTTATCATCTAAAAAATAATTTAACTGAAAGTTATAAGTTTTACTAATTGCATAACATTTAAAATTAATTCAAAATCTTGTTACCAATGTAACATTGATGCTCAGGAGTTCTGGAAATCCATTTATCTTTTTCAAATAATTTAACAACGACATCATCGCCATGAATTGCTCTATTTCGATATCTCATGCCAGAAATAAAAATATCTCCACCAAATCTAAAAATTCCCAGAATGATTATTTCAATTTATTAAATGTAAAAAGTATTTTGAAAATGTATACATACTTTGATGATATAATAAATGCTTCTTCTTGTGGATTATTTTTATTTACTTTTAAAATGCCATGATAATATTGTCCATTTTTAATACCATTTTCTAATGCATCTGATGGAATATGATTTGGATAATATTAAATATATTCTGTAAAAAATTTAATTTGAATGTTGTATAATATTTGAATTTGAAGTAAGAAAGATTTACTCCAAAAATTTTAATTCTGCCATCTTCGATTGCTTATTAGTCAATTGAATAAACTCAGTTTTCTGACCTTATTAATATTAATTAATTCCTTACTATCTATATTGATTTACGTAATTAATACATTCTTGCACGAATAACTTTATAATTATATATAGTTTTTTTTTATGCTTTAATAACTTTAATCTATAGTTCTAGTATATAACATTTCTCCAGCGAAGTACAGTACGGTACATAAAATATTGTAGGTATGTTAAAATTTTATATAGTATTCAATATGGCGCTATGCTTTGATTTATCAGCTCGGAACGACGAGTCGCAGGCCAGTTTTTTTTTTAAATATAAGTAAAATTATAAAAAGAAAGTCGTTAATTTTATCCGAAAATCATTACATTAATGCTGCATGTTGATAGTTAATAATGATTAAAAATAGTGGAATGTAAGCACCTGTTTCACCTCTATCAAACAATGTGCCAGTCCCGCATTACAAAGACAGATCGGAGCGATCTCCATTTTTCTCTATCACTCTACCCTTATATTGCGCATATTTACCAAAGCGGGATCTGCGCGGCGCAAGGGCGTCTCATTATGTCCCTGTCATCGCGCTGGCCGCATACTTGGCGTGTGCCATGCGCCATCTGTCTACCGATCAATGGACAAGCTGGCGTCGACTGGTACACTAGAAAGATGGTGAAACCCTTGCTACAAAGAAGTCGAGCAAAGGCCGAGATGACCCTCGACGATGGCACTCGATAGGTAAGTGTTTTGTCTTTCCATCTCTTCTTTTTTCCTCTTTGCAAGAACCTGTAGCGTGTGTGACTACGTGTTGCTGCGCTACGTGTTGCTTCGGCAGCAACAAGTACCGAGCGCTTTGTAAACTTGTTCGCTTTTCTGATAATTCGAACGTCTGCCGCTGACGTCATTTTAGTGACATTAAGACGGTTGATGTTTATGCGATGACTGAGTAATCATGCATGTAGTTAATATCTGGCAGAACACGTTAATCAGGCCACGCATCAGTAGAAGGTTCGTTATTGATCACCTGTTGAGGAGGTTCTTCCTTCCGCCTGTGTGATTCCAGTTAACAGGATACCTTACGTTAACATTGGTTTAATTATTAGAAACCGAGTTTCTCCATTTCTCTATAACTATTCTCGCTGAAATTGTTCGAGAAATGCAAGATTCATCATCCAGGTAAGTGTTTACATTCTTCTTATACTCTGCTTTTTACATTGCACTTTCCGCTTTCCTTCTAAAAAGAGTACAGATAGATTTTTCCTTATAAATCTACTTTTTTCATCACTCAATTAATTCGAAAAATTCATTTTAATTCTCAAAAATATTTTAACACGCATCGCTTCTTAAGAAGTAAAAGAAAAAAAAAAATATATATATATATATATATTTAAAAAAACTACTCTTAAATTGCATTAATATTTAATTGTTTTAACGAAAAACCCGGTACTTAGCATAATTTTAACAAATTAAATTACTTAAAACACATTCGACAATATTTTACATTCAATTTTACATACTTTAACACGACACTTCTTGTACAATCGATATACTGTATATAAATATACATTTATATGTGTATGTGCGAGTTTACATGGAATTGTAAACGCTCAGTAAGTTACCATCTTTGCATCTTTCACAATATTTCATAACTTTGTACCAATACCATCAACCGCATCTATGAAAAGAGCAATTTTGCATCTTAAACCGTAATAAAATCCTTCCCTGTATCTTTAATAAGCTACAACCGCGCATGCAACATCTCCGATAATGCATTTGATGATTCTCTACTTGCAAAACATATATTTTACGATTTTGCTGACTGGAAAGCGTGAAATATGCACAAGACAGCAAATCAAACTCTGCATCCCTAGCAAAATATTCTGTAATCGTGCATGCTTGCTATCCAACTTTATTCGTGTATAAATTTCTCGAGTCCGAGCATAACGTTTGCAATATTTATTCTTTTACAAATTATATATATATAATTTCTTTTTAAAATGGCTTCTTTAATAATATATCTTTTGTCTTTTTATTAATTATTTGAAGATTTATATATATATTGGTAAATTATATGTTACGTGATAGATTTTCTACCTTTCTCTAATTTTGTTAATGAAAATTTTTTCAATATAGTATCTTTTTTTCCCTTCTTTCTTAACGTTGTTTCCATTACATTAATTATTTCCCAGAGGTTTATTAGATAATGACGAAAATTTTTCATTTGTGTCATCTAATCATATCAATTTAATTGATGTCCATCTAAAAAACATTGAAATGTTCTATAATAAAAACATTTATATATGTAAAAATATGTTTGTTTATTACTTTTTTATAAGAATTTTATAAGCAAATTCGTATCTTACGTCTAAATGTTTGTTAATAATAAGAGATGGTTGATATAAATTCCAGTGGTAGATAGAAGACAATGTAATAATTCTGGTTTTATTGCTTAATAGTTATTTAATTCTCGATTTGTTATCTCACTATATTGACCGTTATGTCCCCTTTTTTTTCCTTTTTGTAAATAGAAATTGATCCGTTTCTTCTTGTGCAATCCCCAAAGCAGAAACAAAAGCCCATTAGTTCTATGTGTACTTTCGACCATAGTGTTTAAGGCTGAGGCAGTAAGCAGTTTCAGAGAGGCGTGACAAAACATGGTTAAATCATTTTAACAAATAGCTTGACGGCAATAACTACAAATGCAAATTATTACGATTATTTTATTTCATTTGAAAGCATTTAAATAATAATTAGAGATCCACAGATTGTATCATTTTTGAGAGAGTGCAAGAAGCTTAACCTCCCTGGTTTAAGATAATTATAGAAGTTATTGATTAAGACGAACTCCTCTTATTGCAGATGGTAAACATTCTTATAACATTTTCTCTCCATATTAAGAATATTAATATTTATTTATATACGTTATTTTATAACAAAATATCAAATTTTTCTGTATTAACTCGATAAATTTTTAAGATTTTCGCATCCATAAGAATTGTTGATTAACTAAGTAACTTCTTTACTAGTAATTTAATATTCACTCTTTCTGTAATTAAAGTTGTTTACTCTTTCTCTATAGTTAATTTCTTAAACTTTTCTTAAAATTTCTTAACTACTGGTAAAAGATTTATTTTGAGATTTCCAACACTCTACCCGCAAACTAAGCATAACAACTGAACAATAATTATATTAAGTTAATTAAACAGTAATAAAGAAGTATTAGAAGTGAAACATTCATTTAAAGGAGAAAAAAAAATAAAATAAAATTGAGACTACTGTAACTAAATTTCAAGAATTTAATAGAATAATGGCGGAGAAGATTCGATGTAAGCCGAGTAAAGTGAAGATTTTGTCAGAATCATTTTTAATTATATCATTGTCATTTAATTTTGGTCGAAAAAAGAATTCATTCCAAAGATACCATTAACTATGTCTGAAGAATTCTATTACAGATTTCGTTCTATTCACTTTCTGATTAAATCCTAATTGCTGTAATTTCCTATTTTCTAGATTTAGTCCCTTCACTACGTTTAGTGAGTTTGTTAATTTTTTAAAGTAAAATATATCTAAATTTAACTTTTCAATACTCTTTGTACAGTAATTCGTTTAATTGTTAAAGGAAAAGATTTGCAAAGATTTCCTTATAAAATTAAAGGACGACTTAATTAGATTCTCGTCATAAGCTCTTTTGTAATTGAATATTGAATCATTTTTGAAACCTCCTATAGATTTAGATGCGGTCTATTCCTGATCTTAGTATAAAATAATTTAAAAATTGACTCCAGAATGATATGAAATTAATAAGAAAACCTATCGAGCACTTTTCTTCTTACTCGTCTCCTTCCTTCTTCTTCTCTCCACTTCCATATATCATTTTTTGATGTAGGCTTTTCTCATCTTCTTCTATTCATCCTGTCTTGTGCTGTCTTCATCCAATATCTTCCATTTTTTTTTCTCTCTCTCTCTCTATAGTGTAAGTAAGATATCAAGTAAGTTCGAATCAAAATAATGCGAAATCAACAAGATTAAAATGATATTAAATAAATAAAATGCAATCAGATAAGTTTCCATCACACTTGCAGCGTAATCAATATAGATTATATCAATACTTTTTGATAGGCCTACTTCGCTAATATCCCTATAATTTGATACCTAATATTAAATATCATTCTCACAGCTATTAAATCTGATATCCGTATCAGTAACACAGTTAAATATCATTTATATATAGCGCAGTTAAACATCATCTCTATTCATCCATTTACCTATCGAAGATATTTACGCCTTAAAAACTTAAATAATATAAAAGACAATGGTTTAAAAACTATAATTTACTCTTTAATTTTATAATTAAGATTCGATTTATTTTAATTATGACAAAGATTGGACTCGAATTTTAAACATAATTCGATAGAGAAAGAAGAAACTGGGAGAGTAAAATCTGTTATTAGAATACAGAAGAGTTAATTATATTTATATTTATAAAAGTGTAAAAATAATTTATAAAAAAAAAATAATAATAATGGAGAGTAAATGTTATTGCCTTAAGTGAAAAAAAAGGTCTGAAGAATCTTTTTTTTCTGTATTGACCACTTCTATTGCCAATTAGTGTTCTATTTAGTTAATTACTGTCATTGAAGAATTAAATCTGTGTCAGATAACAAAAGAATTAAGGATTCAAATTGACGTGTTTTGAGAAGAAACGAATTCTATTAAGAAAACTGTCAAAGTTTGATCTGCTTTAAGTGTGGATCTTATTTCGCAGCAGCATCTGTTAATGATTTACTTATAAGAAAATATTTTAATTTCTTAAGTAACAACTGAAAGGTAAANAATTATTAAATATTAGACTACAAGATTCGTTTTGGGGATTATTTTAATCTTTAAATATAAAGAAAATGAAATAGATACACCAATATATAAAGCATAAATGCGAAATATACGAATTGTGAAATATTGATTTTTCAGATGGTATGAAATTTAAATTGTTCAATCCAAGAGTCACGCTGTATTTCTAGAGCCAATAAAGGTGACTAAACCAAAGGATGTTTTAAATCTCTTAACAAAGAATATTGTCTCCTAGCAACTAGAGGAACCAATAAGAATAACAGGATGAAAGAGCCTTAAGCTTTAAATTTTACCAGGAATCAATAGAATAAATTCATAAATAGATAACATTTCTGTCTCATCGAATTAAGTAAAAGAAACATATTTTAAAATCTACAATCCTATGAAAGTTTAGTTTTTATATAAAAGAAATAACAATAATAAAGCTTAAATGATATTTGCTTCAGGTAATAACTCGAAAAACTTCAATTTTTTTTTTCGATAATAAACTATTATAAACACATAGACCATGAGTCTTTACTACAATCCGTAATAAAACGGACAATAGACTTATCATTACTGTTAAAGTCAAGACAATTTTTCGAAAATAGAAGAGAAACAAATGGACCCAGACCGTTTTTTTTGTTCTTAGATATATTTTAAGTTAAGCAATCAATCGTGAGCGGGTTTCCTCCTTTCAAAAAACGTCAGTTTGTAAGTACCGTATCAGCAAAGCAAAGTGCTTCTGTATATCTTCTTCTTGGAGTTACACTGTATTGCAGAAAGCATCATTTCCATTTGAAAGAGTCTGATGGTCGTGTATTTTGAAAAAAGACGGTTAGACTAACAACCGGAACAAATCCGGAAAAGGTAGGTGTACCTCTTGTGCAATTGGGAATATTTCGTTTCAC